CAGAACAAAATGGATTCAAAACCACAGTGGCGTCAAACTGTATGTGTTAGTGCTAAGCAACCTCTGGAGTGTCAAGAGCTCAAGAGCTTTGTGGGTGGGCTTAGGGTTAATATGAAAAGCTACTCTGAAGAGATGATTTGTTGAAGAGCACACGGATTATAGGAAGTCATAAATGGCTCATTTATTCAGCTCTATTATACTTACTGAACATCTGCTCTGGTCCAGGCACTGTTAGTAGAGAAATGGATAGAATATCTGGTTCCACAGCACCCACAGTCTAACAGCATCCACATATTCTAGACCACTATAACATCATTAACTAGCAAGTAAAAGAACAGGGCATTATGAAAGAGAAGAGCATTAAGCATTAAGGAAAGAGATTAAGCTTCAAACTGGGGTGGCCTCTAAGAGACTTGAATCAGGTCTTAGAGTAGGGCAGGAAGAGCATTTCAGACAGAGCAGCAGCAAGTGGAAAAGTTCTAAGCTGGAATAAAGCTGGATCCTTTAAAGAAGTGGAGAAGGATGATATGGCTTAAAAACAGAATTCAAATTGGTGTGAAGACACATGCCTAAATCCCAGCACTCTGGGAGGCTGAGGCAGGAAGACTGCAAGGTCAAGCCCAGCCTGGGGAAACTTAAAAGCTTAGTGACTTGGTGAGACCATCCTGTCTTCAAAAAAACATTCTGCATGGGAATAGATTTTAGAATTTTATCCCCATTGTGATTGAAAACCACTAAATATCTTAAGCAAGAAAGTGACAGCATCCATGCTTTGAATATATCACTCTGCCTGCTGCATGGGTAAGGGGATAACAGACCAGAGGGAGGGCAAAGAGGTGAAGAGTTCAGCTAGAAAACCCAGGCAGGCATGGGTGTCAGACAGTGCCATGTCCCAGGGTGGTAGCAGTGTGATTATGGGAAGTGGTGGCTGGATTACAGATGCACCCTGCAGATGGGGTTTGTAGGGTCTGATGATGGAGTGAACACGTGGGGAAGAATCTGGGTGTCACGCAGATGTTTAGGGAGTAGTTTAGGGAGTGGAGGTGTTATTGAGACAGGAAAGGATGGTGAAGGTGCAGATTCTAAGTGGCAGCTACAGTGGACATCAAGAATTCAGGTGTGGGTACCTTTAGCTTGAGATGCCCTTCCAACGGCCGAGTGGAAATTGTGCACAGGTACACACCAGGACTACAGTTGGCTATCACCTGCCTCAGGTCCTCTCTTACCACTGGGATATATGAAACTGCTCAGAGGGAGAACAACATGAGAAGGGAAATATTCCGATGAACAGTATTTCACAGTAAGATAGAAAGAGAAGAACAGTTGGGAAAATAGCATGGAAGCTAAAAGATGGGAATGATTCAAGATGAGTGGAAGCTGTAAACCACACGGAATATTACTGAAAAGGTTAGTGTCTTTTAAAAGTGTCTGCTGGATTTGGCGATGGGGAAATCACAAACATTAGCAAGAGCGGTTTCCAAACAGATAGGAACCAGCTTGGACTGAAGTGAACAGGCAATGGAGGTGGGTGGGTGGGCAGAGTCAAGTTCTCAGCAACCCTGGCTCTGGAGGAGTAGCAGAGACAGGTACGAGCTGTCTCCGGAAGCGGAGGAGTGAGCTGTGACCTGAAGTTTCTCCCAAATGGCAGGTGAGACGCTTCGCATATTGCTTTCATCCCTGGCACGGGAGCCCATTCCCTGCTTAACCCTCACTCAGGAAACCTCTTGGACATTGTGCTCCAGCATTCAAAACCTTTCACCACAAGTCTGCCTCTGTTGGAAAGCTCCTGCATGTCCAGAAGGCAGGAAGAAGGCACAGAAGAGCCTCCAGACAAACTCTGTCTGGCCAAGATCTGACCTTAACTTTCCCTTTCCTCAGTTGTTGCACTTGGCTCTCAGCCTGCCTTTCAGACCCCATCTGTTCTCGAACACTCCACTGCGGCCAACTTATGGCAACTTAAAACACCTTCTCTCTTCCCATCCCCATCCACCTGCTGCCGTTCTCCTCTGGAATTAGTGCCCCCTCCTTGCCTCACTGGATGGATGTTCTCCATCCCTCAGAGTCTAGCTCGAGTCTCTTCACTTTGAGAAAAGCCGATCTGGTGCCCTCCTCTCTCAGGCACTTCCCCAGAACTGCCAGGGACCACTGTTTTCTCCTGCACGTGAGGGAACAGTGAGACGGTCTACACACTCCATTGCTTTCTTTGTGGCATAGACATCAGAGACACTTGGTAAATATTGGTTTATTGGTGAGATTACTGAGAAGAGTCAGCTGCCTTTTCTCCCCAAAGGGTAAAGATGCACAATAGTTGCTTCAATGCTGCATTGGACGTATTTCCCAAAGACACACAAATAGGTGCTCAAGGGTTCACCAGCCTGGCTTCTATAAAGTCATTTGAGGAAGTGCCATGTCACCCGAGTTCAAGTTCTAAGCTCTCCTGGCCATCGATTAGTTCAAATGTTCTTTTGGAAGCCTAACCCTTCTTGGAAGTGTTTAACACTTATACCACACGTTTATGTTTTCTTTTAACACTGTTAATAGCGGTCTCTTGTCATTTTAAGCTGTGGATTTCCTAAGGCACAGATCTTTTGAAAATACTGGAAAACTGCCTTTCTGACCCAAACTTCTTCACCAGCTCATGCTTCATGTGAGAGCAATCTTCGTGTGAAGATTCAGCCTGCAGTGTTTTTACCACTCAAGGTAAAATGGACATAATAAGTAATGGACCGCAGAAATGCATGCAATATGAGCTCACATTAAAAAGAAGACATCGGCAAAGTTTTCAGGGCATAAACACTTTGAGGACATTGATTCAATAAAATCTGGGCTCCAAAGTGGCCTTCAACACACAGCAATTATTTCAACCATGAAGATATAGGTAGATTCTGGATACAGATCTATACTACTACGTTTTATGACTTCTCGGGGACTATGTTTGTTCCCCTTGCACCAATGATACAAAAACTAGGAAGCCTGAAATATCAAAAGTAGTTAACAAACAATAAAAAAAGAACCACTTTCCAAATCCCAAACACAAGAGTTCAGTGGGAAGGGTCAGGGAATGAGTTGTCACTGATTCACGCTCACAAACATTGATTCCAATGTGAACAGAACTTCCTCTAGACTCAAGGATGTTCCACCACCATATCCGTTTATATCTCTGAAAGCTGAATAGACATGCCATGTCTTATGGAAAGAATCACTTATTTATATATTTGTGTTTTTTATTTACTGACTTACAAGAGATTTGAAACCACAGAGAGCCCCTGTGCAGTCTTGAGAAAAGTGAGGCTGCTTCTGCTCAGGCACGCTTGGCCTCCTTTCCCAGGGGCTTCAGGCTATCAGAGCAAGAGGTTACTGTCCCCCAGCTTAGTTACCCACTGCCACCTTCGGGAGGCCCTTGCCCTGGTCTGTGGCTTTCTCTGACTTGTCTGGAAAGAACAAGTTTTGCAAAGTAAAAACAAAGACAGGTTTAAGACACATGTGTTGAGCTGTAATTATCCTCTTTAGGGTACGTCTTATTAAATGACATGATTCACTCAAAATACTATGCCCCCCCCATTTCTCACATCTAACTGTCTTTTAGAGAGACAAGCACACAGTGTGCAGAACTACCGAGAACGGGCCGTTCGTGTTTCTTCACTAGGGACGGGCTTTCTCCCCATCACCATTTTTATGCTCAAAGAGAAAAGTGCAAATTCTAGGAAGAAAAAAAAAGAAACAAAATGAGCTGTCAAAATTCCTTTTAGCGCCTATGACTGGTGTTAACTTACGTGCTCCCAGAGTGCAATAAAAAGCCTGCGAATTGCTGCTGAAAAGATGGTTTGACCTTTTAAAATGAGAACTCCCCCCTCCATATCTGTATTAGACAAACAGTGGATGCTCTAGAGTTTTACATTAAGCAATGAAATGAGGCTAACTCTCCAGAAAAAGGTTTCCCTACAGGTTTCAGGCTAATTGGCGTGTTCTAGATCTACACTGTAACAGCAGGTAGAATGCAGGCCCCAGACTTTTTAACCTTTGGAGTTACTAACTACTCAGTCTAGTTCTGAAAGGTGGCGGGGAATTATGAAAATTTAGTTTAAAATAAAAAGTCTTAGACACGACCGCCCATAGCCTGAACTTCCAGGGCAGACTGTCGGCCCCTGGTGGCCGAGCAGCCTTGGCGATCCTGGGTCTCCACCGCAGCAGCCAAACCCCGCGCGCACCGAGCTACGCTGCTGAAAGAAGTTGGAGAGCTCCCAGTTTGACAGGAATCTGCGGTGGGCGCGGGCAATTCCTTCCAGTGCCTCCGTTAGGAAAAGTTTTGAAAAGTAGAGACCTTAGACAGATAAAAGGAACTCATCCTGCTCTCGAGCATAAGAACCACCCCACGCGGGAGGACTGCGCACACAAGGCCATTGGCCCTGCTGCGGTGGGACGAACCGAGGTCTTTCAGCTCCCCACGGCCCCTGGGCGCGTCCTCAGGGTATGGAGCCAGGCCAGAGGCCGGTCGGGAGAGCGGGTCCAGACGGAGATGCCTCCAGGCTCCCCGGCTTGGGGTACGACGGCAGAACCATCAACTCCTCTGAAGCCTTGGACCTTCTCTTCTTCCAAGGCGGCCAGGGCTTCTCCTAAGGGCGCGCGGCACTCCTCTTTCTACGCTCTACCCCAAACTCTTCTCGGGGAGCCCCGCAAACACATGGACCCCGAAAACTCCCAGGGCACTCGCCAGTCACCCCCACCTCTGCATTTCCAACCCTCGTCGATGCGTTCTTCCCACCCCGCAAAGCTCTCCTCACGTTTCTGGGGAGTCAGAAGCAAACCACAAGAAAAATGCCTCGGTGAGGAGCCTCCCTACACCCGCCCTGTCCCTGAAACAAAAGCGCAGGGAGGAGGGAGGTGGGTGGGGAGGCGCGAGGAAGGTTTAGAAAGGGGAGAGGATGGGGACCGCGCGTGGGGAGCTGGGGAGGGGTCGGGTGGAGAGCGGAGACGGGCCAGGACCCGCTCCGGTCGCTTACATGCCCAGGTCACTGTAGGTGTTGAAGAACTCCATCTGGTTGCACGCCTGGATCCAGCCCACGACCCAGGTCTCGTGGCGGGGGATGGGGGGCATGACCACGCGGGCCGAGGCTTTGAAGTAGGGGGTCTTGTAGCGCAGGACGATGGGCGAGGTCTCCTCGATGCGCGTGGGGCACTGGTCGATGGTGGCGCACACATCGTACACCACGATGTTCTCGCGCCGGATCCGCGCCTTGCAGGTGATGCTTTGGATACAGCCCATCCTGCCGCCAAGCGCCGGCGCGGCGTGGCGTGGGGCAGCGCGGGGACCCGCGC